GGTGGCGGGTGGCCCGTGAGCACAGGTGATGGACTGTCCTGGGCGTCACAGGTCTTTATCCTCTATTTTTAACAACCTGCCAGCCACACTCATTTCCTTTCCCCTTACGCATCTCTTCCTCATGGTGTCTCCAAAATTACAGGAACTGATGCTGGGATCCCAGTCCCAGTGTTCTCAAGTGGCCTCTGAGAAATGATTCATCTGGTCCTGTGGATATGAACTCACTTAAATCAATAGGATGCACTTTTATCATCTTCTCAACTATCTTGGGCTCCAATTTTCTCCTATTTATGTTTGTTCAAGCCTTTTACCGAGTGATGATTATTTCCTTTGATCACAGAAATGGAAGTACCCTGAGCCGGTGTGGTCTGGCATTTACTCTGCCTTTTCTACCAGGGCACCATCTGCCTGAGAGCAGACCTGCCTGCAGCTGCCTGCACAAACATCTCCTGGCAATCTTTGTCTTATCTGGAGTGCGCTGTTGTTAGGGAACCTTGGGATCCCATGCAGTACAGGATCGCATGTTTGCTGGCTTATTTATATACCTTCTTTCAACTGAGTTTATTACTGAAGCCCATGTGTTGTCCCAATATGCGTTTTGTATGTTCTCCCTGTTTCTCTTTGTCTCCCCTCCCACCTCCTTTCTCTCCTTTCTCAACTGTTCCACAGATCTCCACTCCTCTAAGGAGAACTTCCCCTGTAGGAGCTCATTTTGTTCCTATGCTCCCTATCAATGCATCTTTTTTAAAAAAAAGAAATGTTGAAAATGTTCTCTGAGTTGAAATATTCTTTCCCCAAGCCCAAGGCCCCTGTCTGGCAGGACCGTCTTGCCCTTGTGTTGGGCTCACCCACAGGGACCTGCACACCACCTTCCCCCGGGCCCGCCAGTCCACAGAGCATACAGCCCCTTCAATGGCAGTCATGTGGCCCTGCCCTGCTTAGGTGTGACATCTTCCTTCCGCTGACTTTCTGGTGAAGGCAGCAACCTTCAACCTTTGTCCTCATG